CCCTCTGCTTCCTCACTTTAAGTCTGCTCTCATTGAGATTAACACAATTTCCAGTATCCTTCCAAACAGTACTCATCTAGTCTGCCTTTTGCATTCCAACTAAATTTAAAATTTCTGTGTCCCAAAAGTCTATACGTCTCTGCAAAAGCTAAAGACTATATCGTTTTTCCATGTTAAATTTTTCTAAATCTCAATAAACAAGATTCATTTTCTAGCCATTGTGACTGCTGATTACTCAGACTTACTATCTTAGTGCTTCTTCTGCTTGCCATGCTTTCCCCCTAGGGTTCCTGTCAAACAGGTAAATTCGATTTTTTTTTAAGTTATAAGTGTATTTCTTTTCATTTGAAAGGCAAAGTTACAGGAAAAAATGAACACGCAGAGATCTTCCATCCACTGGTTCAGTCCTCAAATGGCCACAACGGCTGGAGCTGAGCTGGTCCAAAGCTTTTTCAAAGTCTGCCACATGGGTGCAGGTGCCTACGGACCTGCCTGCCCCATCTTCAGCTTTCCTAGACCACTAACAGAGAGCTGGACTGGAAGCGGAACGGCCAGGACTCAAGCCAGTGCTCATATGGCATGCCAGTGCTGCAGGGAGGCTTAACTTGTTACATAATGCTGTCGGCCCCAAATTTTCTCATTTTTCTATGCTTGTTTGTTTTCCTATTGGCTTGGAAGACAAATAATACCGTTTTTTAAAATACTACTTATTTAAATGAGAGGGAGAGACAGAAATCAGGAAGACAAGTACTATTTCTACTCTTCAGTCGTTAGACTTGCAATCCTGCTCTCCATACTTAGTTGTCAGCATAATCGGCAACTGCACTGTCTCCCAAAGAACACAAAGCAAATTCAGGTAACCTATCTGCTAGCTAATGTTTTGTTATTATTATTCCATTATTTTTGGTCTCATGAATTAGACTGTTGATACATGAGGGGGCCACTGTTTAAGTCTACTTACATTTATGATTTTCTCAGTTCTGAATTCTTCTTATTCTGAATTCCTTCCTTATCCACCAAAAATCATTTTTCCCCTAAAATACATTCTTTAGAAGTCCCCTTGATAAAACCCTGGGTGAGAAAAATCTGTTTTGACTGGAAAATGTATTACTTTTGCCCCTATTCTTTAATGGTTGAGAAGTCAGTTGTACAACTCATTAATTTATAAACGAACCTGTCTTTACAGTTGTCGTAAGATTCTTCTTGCCTTAGCATTCTGCAGTTTCACTACGAGGTGTCACAGTGCATATAACTACTTAGCCTGCTTGCCTCTACGCTCCAAATCTAAGGATTCACACATCTCATTCACAGAAAACGCTCAGCCATTTATCTCTGGCCATCCTTCATCCCTTCTGGAATGTCTACTAGATATTTTGGGCTGACTCATATGAACTATAATTTTATGATGCTCCAATAATTGTCATTTCAGCAGGTACAAACTATGAAGACATTAAACAATTATTCCTTGTTCTCCATATGTTTGTTCGTGCTTTCCATTATAACCCACAGACCCTTTCTAGGAAATTTCTTCGATTTTCTCTTCTACTACACAAATTCTTTCTTTGACTGCATCTATTTCTGTTAAGCATATCACTTAGCTTTTAATCTCAGTCCCTTTAAAATAATATTTGATTGTGTTTTATTTCCCATTCATTTCTAAATCTGTATTTTCTCCAAAAACTTCCTATATACTGCATAGGATAGGATATAATGCAATATATCGAAGGCCATTCACAGGTCTAAAGCTTATTACTTTTTAGTTCTGATGACTCCTAACACTTTCTGGTTATTTATTTCCTTAATATGTTGGAGCAGGAGAATCTGAATAAATCTATGGGGTGCTAAGAGGCCTAGGTTTAGTCAGTTTCATCCATGCAGAACTTAGCTTGTTTCTGTTGGGTGTCAAAGACTTTCATTTCTTATTTTAAGGGTTCCTTGGTCATTCAGGAAGTCTAACTTAGATTACCACACACATTCAGACCAAGACCATGCAATAAATCAAGAAGGCTACACTAAATTATTATGAAAATAGGCAGAATTCCCTGTTGACTCTTTCTTTGCCAACAGGTACATTTCTTTTTTCTACCCTAACTTCTCACTAAGAGGTACAGATACTCCAAAGGAACAGTAGATTCATGCGAAGACCTCAGATGCAATTCCCCACAGTCTCCCAGCTCCACAACACTCCAAAGCTCCTGCTTGGGTATTTTAAGCCTAGTGCCATGCTCTATTTTGCTTTTTTAACCAACTTTAATTTCAGTTCCTTGTTCTCCTTTTATTTTATTTTTCTGCTTTTGGTCTTTCAGTTTACCCTTAATGCTGTGAGCTTTAATGTATCTTGAAGAACATTTTTAAAAATACATTCAGTATTTAAGTATTTTATAGCTACAAAACTTTTTAATGTAGCAATTAAAAAATGGTTAAGAAGATCACTTCTAATGAGGTTCAAGTTAAAGTCACAGAAATGCTTTTAGAAACAAATCTGAGGTTAACAGCAGTGTTTTCACCTGATTGATACAGCTTAAAGTGCATCTAATATTTTAATTTCTTTTTATTAAAAAAAAAAAGTTGAGGGTGACTCCAGAAACTTTTGTTCTTACTTGTCAAGCAAGAGCTTCAGTACAGTGGGAAAGGTTTACCTTTTCTCCAAATAATAAGAAATTCTTAAATAGTGGGTAGAAAATGCTTGGCATTTTACTGATGTTGCAAAGTCATCAGATTCAAATCAAATCATCTACCTAGAGGACTCATATATTTACTTGTCCTTGGCATGAAAGTCATAAACTCTCAAACCTAAAAAAAAATCACCCAGCTGAGAAATGACAACACTGAACCGAGTTTCAAAATCAACTACTAAATTCAATTTCAGAAACATTTTAATACTGTGATTATTTTAATTTTAAAAAATCTAGCCTTTAATATTGGATCCCTGGAGAGAAGCTTGGCAGGCCTCCAGGACCACCCCATCCTAGAGGTTAGGTTTTTTGACTCACAGAGGTACCTGTAGCCAGGAGGCCCAGGGGCCAAAGGGGCTGGGCGAAGGCCCTTGAGCCCGGGGGGGGGGGGGGGGCAGGACACCCTTATGGTTAAAGGGTCTGATTTACTGGGGGATGATGGGATTGCACAGGTGGCAGTGGGGATGACCTGTGGTTTTTACGCCCAGGTTCGTAATTGTAGCTGAGGGACTTCATTGGTAAGTTCAGAACATGTGTATGTAAGTAGGGGACCAACACCAACGTGGCTTGGAGGGGAGAACAAGAGTGAGAGAAGCGGGTCTTGCAGCAGAATCTGTGGGGGCAAAGTGGGCTCATCCCTGTGGAACTGCAATCTCTGCTGGCTCACCCAGGAACTGAGGATGGCGTCAGGCCTTGCTGGGGAGCTAAGGGGGTACCCAGCTGGGTTGGGGTTCCCACTGGTGAGAGTGAGAGTATAATTGAGGGCAGCAGGCATGGTTGTACAGACTACAGACTACACTGGTGTGGGTGTGCCCTGAGACAGTGAAAGGACATACTAGGCTTGACTCCAGCCCTCAATGGTACTCATGAGAATCAGTTTGGGTGTAGGTCAGACTAGGTCTTGACTCCCACTGAACAACGTGAAAGCTGTGTCTGGGTGCAGACCAGGTAATGCTGGGCTGCAACAATCAACAAGAACCAGAATGGGTATGACCGGTTGAGCAAGGCCACTGTTCTTGTCAGGACAGGAGGTGGAAAAAGTTAACCTAGGCCAAGACCCACTGGTGTGTGCAAGAACTGCCATTAAGAGGAAACTTGATGGAGGAGCTTGGGAAACTCTTTTATTGGGATGCAGCACCTGCAGGAGAGCACAAGAAGCAAGGCAAGGAGCAACCCAGAAGATGCCAGGTTACAGTTCCCGCAGGCATATATGTGGGTCAGGTCTGCGGACAGACCAGTCTGGCCCAGCACATAACACCCACTGGCAGATCTGAGAACCAGGGCAGGGGGCAGGAGGAGCCAGATCGGGCCACAACACCAGCCAGTTCACATTAGGACTGAGATAGCAATCAGACTGCAGCACCCACCAAGAGGAGCTGGAACAGGAGCAGACCAGACTAGGCCAGGCTGCGCAGTAAGACTGTGGACACTGAGGTGAGGCGAGTCATGCCAGTATGAGCCCAGCAGGGGCCAGGTACATGAGTCCCAGGAGTGGGGGATCTGACAGGGCTCGGGTCATGGGGCCCACCTGGGTGGTGAGGGATGGGTTCCTGAGCCCTGGGAACAGGGGAACTGGTGGGGTGTAGGTCAACAGCCTAGATCCTGGGGCCCACCTTCTAGGTGGATGTTGCTTTCGTGAATCCCAGGGGTGAGGGATCTGGAGGGGCTTGGGACACCTGGCCTGGGTCCCAGGGCCCGCCCACTTGGTGGGTGTCAGTTTCCTGAGCCCCAGAGGTGGGGGATCCGGCAATGCTTGGGACACCCAGCCTGGGTCCTTGAAGTTGCTTGCAAAAACATGCCCTACTTAATGAAAAAGGTGCAGTAGTGGACACAGGCCCTGTTGTAAAAAGAGAATATGGCAGCACATTTGGTGCCGTAGCAGAACAGAACTAACTGGACAACTACCCCAAACAAACGAGGACGGCAAAAAATCTCAGTGAATGGAGCCAACGGTCACTGGGAGGGCGACATCATCCTCGGATAGTGAAATCTGCAGCATTTCAGAACTCTCCAAATCACCTGGGCAGAACCGTTGGCATACGTGCACGCTGAGACTCTGGGTTGAGGTGGCGGGTCCTCATCCCTGGCACTGGGACGTGCGGAAAGTCATGAGTGGTTTCCCCCTTTGTTTTTCCCCTTTCCCAGAAACAATTAAAAATTAGCAAATTTGGAAGCAGTGAATTCACCCAATTTTTCCTAAACTTTGATCCATCCCACCCTGATCAACCATGTAATCATTATTTTTTTTAAAAAATTGTTTTTTTTAAAAAGCTAGCCTTTAACATGAAAATGGAACTTTTCTCTTAAGATTAACCAGTTCTTTACCTCGCCAGCACTTGCACATTCCTTGGCTCTTCTGTGAAGTGCAGCCCAAGTGTCTTCATACCTAAGAAATGAAAAAAATAACCTGAAATGCAAGCAACATGCTATAAAGAAATATGACTGGAAAAGGAGCCTTGGGGCCTAGAAACGAAGAGCTCTGATCATGATGGAGACACACTGGGAAAAAGCAGGAGTCAACTTCCAGGGTCTTGCCAGGGGCAAATCTTTTGACAATCTGAACAAAATAAGTAATGGTAGTAATAGATTATAACTTCAAGCATAAAGCCAATCTCCACAGGTCTGTCGCAACAGATAGTTAAGTAAATTAAGGGCAGAGAAGAGAGAGTCCTTCTTTCAGAAGAACTCCTATTAATAATTATAAAAAGCAAGGATAAAATCAGAAAGTCACCACTTGGTAACCACACGGTGACAACTGCTCCAGAGAGGCTCCTGATGGTGATGGCACTGGTGAGCGAGGTCTCAAGACAATCAGGACATTTACGGAGTCTCCAAGGATCCCCTACAGGACAGCCATCACAGCAAGCGGGAAACAGTGCTGACATGGAGAAATCCCCCGCAGAGACTGTAACGAAGCCATCACACCGGGAAGCACGCCACACTGCTTTTCTGCTAGCTTTGCCAGAAAGGCGCTAATGAACGCAATCCCAAGGAAATAGCAGATCAAGTCAAACTGAGGACATCTGAAACAAACTGGCCGGGCATCTTCAAATGTGTCAGGGTCATCACAAAGAAACTGTCCTGGATTAAATGAAGGAGACAAATGGTGACTTAATATTTATGACCCTCGACTGGATTTTAGTCCAGATAAAGGGATATTATTGGGACAAGTGATAAAATGTGAATGCCTACAGATTAAAGTATTTAACTTCCTTGTTTTGATCACTTTGCTATAATTACATAAAAAGCTAACATCGAAAAACTGGGATTCCTTGGTGTACTTTGACAACATTTTTTTTCTACGTCTGAAAATTACTTCCAAGTGAAAGGTTGAAAACCAGCACAGCTGGAGGCGGGTGCGTGACAGAGGCTGGGATGCTGGCTGGGGCAGCCCCATCTCACACTGAGGGCCTGGCTTCCAGTCCAGCCTCGTGCCAACCTCCTGCGAGGCAGCAGTGCCAGCTCAAGGACCTGGAGCCCTGCCATCCACATGAGAGAAGCCCAACTGAGTCCCTAGCTCCTGGCTCCTACTGGGCCAAGGCTCAGTGCAGCAGGCACTGGATGCGTGAACAAGCCCCCAACAGCTGGTTCTGCCTCTGTCAAAAATCACTTTTAAGAAGAAAATAAGTACGGTTGTGGATATAAAACTTGACTTCACATCATATCTCAAGATCAGTCACCTGATAATTTTCTAAAGACAGATGTACTTTATGAGTTTGTATTATCATACTTCACAGACACGTACAAATTCACAATTTTTCTGTTGAATTTTAAAAGTCAACCTCAATAATTTCAAATGTGAACCAGAGCGCACAAGTAACAAAACCAAGGAGGAAAGTCACATGATTAAAACAGTACCACTGTCACTGCTGACGGACAGAAAGCTCAAGATTTTTCTCTGCTGTGCCAGACAGTTAAAATCGGCCAGCGTTTGATGGACACCAGGTGCCTTTAGGCACCAGAACTGCTGAGCTGAATTCTACTTTACGCTATCGTGCTGGTACTTAACACAGAGCCCGTGGTCCATGTGCAGTGCAGAAACAAACATGCTGATTGCAAACTCCAATGCAGGCTTCAGGGTAAAAACCCATCAGTGGGAGAGAGTAAATTAATTCTTGCTTGCCATTTAAAGGCTATATTTTTTTTTATTTTTCTTTATTATTTTTTATTTGAAAGGCAGATATACAGAGAAAAGTAGAGACAAAGATCTTCCATCTGCTGGTTCGCTCCCCAAGTGGTCACAACAGCCAGAGCTAAATCAATCACAAGCCAGGAATAAGGAGCCTCCTCCAGGTATCCCACATGAGTTCAGGGTCCCAGTTTGGGCTGTCCTCGACTGCTTTCCCAGGCCACAAGCAGGGAGCTGGATGGGAAGCAGAGCAGCCAGGACATGAACCAGCACTCATATGGGATCCTGGGCGGATGCAAGGTGAAGATTTAGCCACAAGGCTATTGTGCCAAGCTCCAGATCATCTTCTCTCATCTCTCGCTCTCCGTTTTCCTCCTTAACACTACACATCACCCACGTCTACCTTCTTAGTTCACACTAATGATTCTCCCATGCATTTGGCATTTTCTAAACTGAGATTATCCCATCCATTTTTGTCTGTTCTAGTTCCATGCTACAGAACAGAGAAATACAGAAACAGGATTAAAGCAAGCTCTTCCCGATTGGACACATGTCCATCTGCAGTTCCACACCAGTCAGGAGCAAGAGAATCCAGACTCCAACAGTGAAAGACCCCCTAACTCCCTGCTAGGGACCTCCCCAGCCTGTGTGAATGGCCCAAACAGCCTCGTGTGTCTGCCACGTGATCTTCCTGGGGTGGCAGTGAGTGACACCACCATTTTGAGCATCATGTGCAAAATAACTGCAATGCCTACACAGAGCACCAAGCTGGCAGCAAGGCAGGTGTGGTATGCTGTAGAACTGCAGGCCGGGTGCAGACCTAAACACCATGTGCACAGCTCCCCAGCTGAGGAACATTCGTGGCCTCCCCACCCTGAACCAGTGTGCTGTCTCCCTTGAGCCAAGCATAAACCCCAGTAAGCCTTGTCTGGGCTGCCTGTCAGCTTCCTTTCAATCTCCATTACAGGGAGCCAAGAACTTGTCAGAAAGGTGTCATGGCTCAGCCTTGCGTGGCCCTTCGCTGCCAATCAGCACTTTAAAAAACACAACCCTGGTAGACTGCTCCCTAATGGACACATTGCAGATGTCACACATCTCACTTGGCCCTGAAACTCATCCCATGCCATCATTTCCAACAGATGAAAGACCTGAGATAAAGACTGTAAACATAAACTCCTTCAACTGTCCTGTACTCAAACTAAAAACACCTTCAAACATAGTGTAAGGACTTTAAAATGTATTCATTCAAATAATTACCAAGCCTATCCCATGTATGCTACCCCAGGAAGAACACACGAGTTAGCCTAGGCAAGAAGATCAGCACCTACACAGATCACCTCCTTACTAGGACAAAGGAACAGTGCTTACTACATAGCATCAGTGCCACAGGAATCCAGGAGATCCCTGGACTGTGATGCCTAACACTGCCTGCAAAGCCTGACTAGGAGCTGGAGGGGAAGTGGCAGAGCAAGAAGCACCAAGAACATCTCCCTGTCTGGGTAACCATGTGCTGGCAAACTGCAGTTTATGGTAGGTTTGCATTTACACAGGAAGATCAGAGGGTAAACTGTGATTCTTTTCAGCTCTTAGCACAATGCCCACCCCCCACCCGAGACCTACGTGCACTTGTTCCTGAAGAATCATACCCAGCAGTTTCTGTGGGAGACAGAGCGGATCAGCAAGCACTCAGGCCTGAAGCCAGCACTGCGGCATAGTGGATTAAATCACTGCCTGCCAAGGCCGGAGTGTGCTTCAAGCTCTTCCTGTTCCACTTCCCATCCAGCTCTCTGACAATGTGCCTGGGAAGGCAGCAGATGATCCAAACACCTGGGTCCCTGCCAAACACGCAGGAGACCCAGACAGAGTCCCAACCACTTCAGGCATGTGGGGAGTGAACCAGCAGATGGAACATCCGTCCTTCTGTCAGTCTTCCTTACTAAAAAAAAGTAAAGATGAACCTCAAGACAGCAACTAAGTCTTCTGTAAGGAGAGAGAGCATGGTCCTCCAGGCTGTAATTCCTGCCAGCAGCTCGGGACCAGGTGGCGCAGGCAGACACAGCCACAGTGATAAGCCCTGCCCGCTGCACATGAACCTCAGGGGACTCGGCAGGCCGGCATCTGACTTTTGTCTGCCCTCACTTTTCCATTTTACCACTCTGGAAGCTCGGGCAATAAGGACTCCAGCATTCAAAAGAAACCCCATTTATAAGTCACCACACATGCCCAGCCCAAAGCACAGGCTCAGAAGAGACCTCACATGGCAAACCCTCAGGCTGAGCACTGGCCAGCAGACAGAAGGACAAACAAAACACCAAGCAGCGATCTCCGGGTGGGAAGAGGGTGCCTGCCGGCTCTCTGGTGCTGCCACAATTCAAGTGCCCGGGTTTCAAAAACACATCACAAGGAACACAAAGGAATGAAACAAATAAACAAAGAAACAAACAAAAAACCCCCGCAGAAAAATTTAGCCCTGTCAAAGGAAAACAAAATATCAATGGAGAACATCCCTAAGAAAGGCCAAACAGTGAATTCACATGACTTTTAAGTTGTTTGAAGAGCTAAATGAACAACACATGAACAAATTGATAACATCAGTAAACCAGCAGCATACCCAGGCCGGCATGGTGTGGTAGCCTTGCAGCTCAAGTCCTCACCTTGAATGTGCCAGGATCCCATATGGTCAACGGTTCGAGTCCCAGTGGTCCTGCTTCCCATCCAGCTCCCTGCTTGTGGCCTGGGAAAGCAGTCAAGGACATCCCAAAGCCTTGGGACCCTGCACCCATGTGGGAGACGTGGAAGAAGTTCTGAGTTCCTGGCTTCAAATCGGCTCAGCTCTGGCCATTGTGGGCTCTTGGAGAGTGAATCAACTGATGGGAGATATTTCTCTCTGTGTCTACTCCTCTCTTTGTATATCCAACTTTCCAATAAAAATAATAATTTTTAAAAAAGTAAAGCTTTATGGAAAAAGAAGTAGCAGCAGCAACACACTCAACAGTTACTGGGAGACTGGATGGAACAATAAGGAGCCTAACCTGAGGCCAGCATTGTAGCACAGTGGGTTAAGCCACTATCTGCCAATGCCAGACTGTGATTATATTGAAGACATTCTATATAAAACACAAATTTCTATATACTCATATAGGTGTATCAAGTAAAGGCGCCCCCTGCAGCACCAGTATCCCATATGAGTGCTTGAGTTTGAGTTCCAGCTGCACCACTTCTTTTTTAAGAATTTATTTTTATTTGAAAGGCAGATTATTATGAAAAGAGAAGAAAAGATAGAGAAGGTCTTCCATTCACTGATTCAGTCCCCAAATGGCAGCAACGGCCAGAGCTGAGCTGATCTGAAGGCAGGAGCCAGGAGTTTCCTCTGGCCATCCTCTGCTGCTCTCCCACATCATAAGCAGGCAGCTAGATTGGAAGCAGCAGGCTGCTCCACTTCTGATCAGCTTCCTGTGAACGCCCCTGGGAAAGCAGCACAGGATGGCCCCACTGCTTGGGTCACCCATGTGGATGCAGGCACCCAGAGGAAGCTCCTGGCTCCTGTGTTCAGGCCAGCTCAGCTCCAGCCATTGCAGGCATTTGGGCAGTGAACCAGGGTATACAAAATCTGTCTCTCCCTCTCTGTGTCTCTGTGTCTTATAAATAAGTAAATATAAAAAAAAATTATGGAAGCCTCGTATATTGGTGATTGAAGCATAAAATGATGTAGGCACCATGGAAAGTAATATAATGATCCCTGAACAAAATGCAACAGATAATTATCGTAAGATACAGCAATTCCACTTCTGGTCATATAACCAAAAGAAGTAATTGCGAGGTCTCAAAGCTACCTGTATACCCACATTCATCGAAGCGTTATTCACAATAGCCAAAGGTGAAAGCAGCCCAAGTGCCCATACAAGCCATCTGGTAAATAAAACGTCGTGTATACTCACAAAGGCATCTTATTCAGCCTTACAGAGAAAGGAAATTCCGAACAATGTGGCCGAATAACATCCCATTATCTGGCTACACCACGTCCTGTTGCAGTCATTCACCCGGCGATGTATAATTTTGCCGTGTCCAGTTTTGGACCACTGTACCTCTGGTGTTCACACTTAGGAACAGGCTTCATAGACACATGTTTTCAGTTCTCTTAGGGTAAAACTGCTGAGCCATACCACATGGCAATTCTTTCTAAAGACGTATTTATGTATTCATTTGTTTAAAATTGAGATTTATAGAGAGAGACAGAAAAAGATCTTCCATCTGCTAGTTCACTCCCCAAGTGGCCACAATGACCCGAGCTGAGCTGATCCCAAGCCAGGAGCTTCTTCTGGGTCTCCCACATGGATGCAGGGTCCCAAGGTTTTGGGCCGTCCTCTTCTACCCACAAGCAATGAGTAAGAGTTCTAATTTCTTCACATCCTGACATAGCCTGTGCATTTGTCACTCTGCACATGCTGGTGAGCATGAAGTGACATCTTACATGGCTTTGCATTTCCCAGAGGACCAACACTGTTGGGCATCCTGTCCTGTGTGTATTTGACCATCAATATATCTTATGAGGAATGTATTTTTCAAATCCTTTGCCTGTTTCTTCACTGAGCTGTTCATCTTTTTGCTACCGACTTATCAAAGCTTTGTAACATTCCAGGTTAAGCCTCTCATCAGATCTTACGGTCTGTCTCTCCTCCCTTTCTATGAGTGTGTGTTTCACTTTTCTTGATGATGTGCTTTCAACCTTCATTTCAATCAAGTTCATTTATTTTTTTTTCTTTTGCTACTTGTGCTTTTTGAGTCTTATAAGACCACAAACTTTAATATTAATCTGCATGTTGATACGAATAGATAAAAATAAAGAAACAAAATGAGGAGTCACATTTAGAATCAAGTTTCTCACAATAAAGAAGTCACACATAAAAATACATATCCATAATAAAGGACTGACGAATCAATACAACAGAGATCTACCTGCTCCTCGGACAACCAGCACACTGACTGGTGAAAAACACAAAGCCCTCAAGGAACACAGCAATAATCTCCATGTACATTGCACTAAGTGTAAGCACTATAAGGGCTTTATACATGACATTGAGAACCATTTTCAGGCAGTACCATAGAAGTCCCATTCCCCCCATAAATGAAAACACCCACCTGCTAAGCAATTCCAATCCAGCAGAGTACTTCGGTAAATATGGAACACTCCTGCCAAAGCAAATACTGATTTTAATTTTTCCCAATTAGTCAACAGACAAACAAAGTTTCACGCAAGAATTCTGGCCCATTGTAATGTGAAGTATTTTAAAATCACCAATGACAACTGAAGCTAAACTCCTGGAAGCTCCTGCCTTCAGCCTCACCCAGCTCTGCCCATTAGGACCATATGGGGAGAGAACGCGCAGATGGGAGATATTCTCTCCTTCCCCCTAACACCCCCAAATGCCCCTGCAAACTCTGCCTTTCAAACTAATAAATCTTTAAAAAACATGAAAATTTGGGGGAAGAGTTATATAGAGAAGCAGTGACAGAGATCTTGCACCCACTGGTTCACTCCCCAGGCGGCCTCCATGGCCAGAGCTAAGCCCACTTGAAGACAGGAGCTTCTTCTGGTTGTCCCGCAAAGGGTGTAAGGACCCAAGGACTATATCCATTCTCAGCTGCTTTCCCAGGCCATAAGCAGGCAGTTGGATGGGAAGTGGAGCAGTTGAGACTAGGGCCAGCCCCTGTAAGGGATGCTGGCATTGCACACTGAGAATAAGCTTGCTAAGCCACTGTGCCAGCCCCACAAACCATTTTATTATAATTGATTTTCAATGATAAAGGACTCTGAACATTCAAATTTAAACGATTCTTTTTAAAATACGTATTTATTTATCTGAAAGGCAGAGTTATAGACAGAGAGTGCAATTCTTTGCTGCTTTGCTCCCCAACTGGTAGCAATGCTGAGGGTTAGGCCTGGCTGAAGCCTGGAGCCAGCAAGTCCATCTGGGTCTCCCCCATGGCGGGAGGGTCCCAGGCATTTCTACTGCTTCCCCAGGCCCACTAGCAGGGCACTGGATTGGAGCATCCAGCACTTGAACTACTGTTGGGGGAAGCAGTTTTTCCTGCCACACCAGGGCACACCATGGCACTGGCACCTTAACATGCTTCTGATCAAATAAAGCCATTAATTTAACCATGGATTAAAACAACTATATATGATCATTTTTTCAGCCATTTCACAATTTTATCAGAAAACATTCATGTGCTGCAAAATTTAGGTGCAACAAATTGCTTATATTCAAGTTCACCAAACAGATCTAAAACTCATTAAAATGTATATACAATTGTGAGTACAACGACAAGTTGTATGAAATTCAAGGAACAATTCATTAAAGTCTTAGCACAGCCTTACCTGGGTTTGCTTTTTACTTTTGCTTCTCTAGACTTGTCACTTAAAGTCTTCAACCTGTAATTCAATAAATATAACATTTAATATTTCTACAGTCAAGAGATTTCCAACTGCCAATCTTCATACCTGTTAGAGTTTTAGGTCACACAAGGGAAACGTTTTAAGCAATTAGGCAACCCTACAGACAACAAAGAGTTGAGTGTGCACATTGTGTCAGATGCCACCGATGGGAAGCCTGTATCTTCCTATTTCCGCTCGCCCCACAGGGTGTTTTCAGAGAGGATTCCTCAGTGTGCTCAGACTACAGAAACCCACAGCACTGGGCACATCCACGACCGGCCACCAGCTGACAGTGTAAACACTCCAGAGGACACAGACAGTAAGCAGCTTGCTCTATTCAGCAGAGCCTATCTCACTCCCGCCAACGTAGCTGATACAAAGTTTTCCAAAACATGTTACAAATACAAAAGGCAAGTGCCTTTTAATTTTCTAAAGGATTTATTTCTTTTTATTGCAAATTCAGATATTCAGAGAGGAAGATATTCCGTCCAATGATTCTCTCCCCAAGTGGCCACAATGGCTGGAGCTGAGCTGATCCAAAGCCAGGAGCTCTTCCTCCAGGTCTCCCACACGAGTGCAGGGTCCCAAGGCTCTGGGCTGTCCTCGACTGCTTTCCCAGGCCACAAGCAGAGAGCTGGATTGGAGGCGGGGCTGATGGGATAGAACCGGCATCCACATGCGATCCCACTGTGTTCAAGGCAAGCACTTTGGCCGCCAGGCCTCCATGCCTTTTAATACCTTCTGGGAGCACTGAATCATTTCCACAGATAGCACTGGTGAAAAAACACCAACCCCTCAGGTGCTTCTGAATTGCAAACGAATCTCCACTTACTAACCTGAACCACCACTACTGAAATCCCACTGCTTCTGCTAAGGATTTACCACAGCCGCCACCGCCTCTTCCTTGCTGGCTTTAAATCTCCAGGTTGGAAAGCAGATGAACAAGCTAGAACTGCATACAGGAAACAAAATTAACCCACTCTTCTAAACATAAAATATGACATTCGTAGACTGTATTAATTCTTTTCACTTCACTGGCCCAGTGACACTTTCTTCTGACTGTGGTCCCTGTTCTAGATCATTGAGGAAGCCAATAAGTATGTGAGTACTGGATTATGAGATAATTCTACATAAAATTACATACTGCTGGACCTGGTGCAGTAGCCTAGTGGCTACGGTCCTCACCTTGCATGCACCAGGATCCTACACGGGCTCCGGTTCATATCCTGGCAGCTCCACCTCCCTTCCAGCTCCCTGTTTGTGGCCTGGAAAAGCAGTTGAGAATGGGCCAAAGCCTTGGGACCCTGCACCCGTGTGGGAGACCTGGAAGAATTCCTGTCTTTGGATCAGCGCAGCGGTAGCCATTGTGGCCACTTGGGGAATGAACCAGCAGATGGAACATGGATCTTTCTTGCTATTAATCTGACTTTTCAATAAAACTAAATAAGTCTTTTTTAGTTTATTATTTTTAAGATTTATTTAATTTTATTGGAAAGGCAGATGTACATAGAGGAGGAGGAGGACAGAGAGGAAGATCTTCTGATCGCTGATTCACTCCCCAAGTGACCACAATGGCCGGTGCTGCGCCAATCTGGAGCCAGGAACCTGGAAATTCCTCCAGGTCTCCCACACGGGTGCAGGGTCCCAAGGCTTTGGGCCGTCCTCGATTGCTTTCCCAGGCCACAAGCAGGGAGCTGGATGGGAAGTGGAGCTGCCGCGACTAGAACTGGCATCTACATGGGATCCCAGCTCGTTCAAGGTGAGGACTTTAGCCACTAGGCCACCACACGGGTCCTAGTTTATTATTATTATTATTATTATTATTATTATTATTAGAAAGTCAGATATACAGAGAGGAGGAGAGACAGAGAGGAAGATCTTCCATCCGATGAGTCACTCCCCAAGTGACTATGATGGCCAGAGCTGCGCCAATCCCAAACGAGGAGCCAGGAACTTCTACCAGGCCTCCCACACAGGTGCAGGAATTCAAAGCTTTGGGCTGTCCTGGACTGCTTTCCCAAGCCACAAGCAGGGAACTGGATGGAAAGCGGGGCCGCCAGGATTAGAACTGGTACCCACATGGTACATTCAAGGCAAGGACTTTAGCTGCCGAGTCAATGTGCAGGGCCCAAATCTTTTTTTTTTTTTTTTTTTTTAAGCACATACTGCTGTACACATTCTTAATTACCTCAGCAAATATTTATTCTAAATAGACACTGACTTGACGGCCACAGCACTGGCCTTTCCCTGGAAACGATGCTAGGATTATATTTGGTGATTCAGGACAGTTTGAAAGGGGACTGCTAAGATCCTCTGTGGACCACTCCACTATGGTCTAGCAAACCTTTAAATGGTTATTTCAAACATTCATTCCTAAAACAAATTTTTCAATGTATCCCCTTTCCCTTCCCTCCAAGAATAAGGAAAAGAACTAAGTCTGGAATGAAATAAAAAGGAGACGTGTTAGAAAGAACCGAAAACAAACAATTTAATGAGTAATTCCCCATGTGACTTGTAAGAGCGATCTGTTTTAGAAATTGATTTTAACCAAATGAAATATGTGGCAGCCTGAGCTGTCCGAGAACAAATGAACTGAAGACATATATAAGAACCAAGAACGTCTGATTATGGACTGAGCAACTGACACAGTCAGAATTAGTGCTGCTTTTTTTTAGCTATGATATTGGCATGACATTCACCGAATGTCTGTCATTTCTTTAGCCATGCGAATTGACAAATGAAAGGCACAAGAGGCAAAACTGGAATTTGCTTTTTAAACGGGAAGACAAAGCAAATGTGCTATCTGAAAAACATTAAATCTGAATACTGGACCTGTGGGGTTTACTGCGTGTGAAGAGTGACTTCACACATATTGACACATAGTCACACTTAGTGACTCCTGGCATTGGCCAAAAGACCAACCCGCCTCCGCTTTCAGCAGCTGCCCCCTTAGGCTTCAGTTCCCTTAGGCTTCAGTTCCCCTGTGTTTCAGTTTCATTTCTTTAAGTCTCGGGCTCTTTAATTCTACACCCAGTTTTTTTCCCTGATAACCTATCCACCAATCTCTTGCGGGCCCCATATCCCTGGCCCTGCCTACTGCCACATCTACCAATCCCTGCAACTCTACTCCCAGTGCCCGCCCCTGTGCTATAAAAGCACAGCACGCTCCCTTCCATTCTTTCCTCTCTCAGCTCTCCCGTCTCCTGGTTCTCCCTTCTTGGCCCTCTGTCACCCACTGGACTCCCTTGGAGCCCCCTCCTATAACTATGGCAGGAAGCCTCTTTCTCTTCTTCCCCCTCTGCCTTCTCTCTTCCCATGGCCATCCTCCTCTGCCCTGTTTACTCTCACCTTCCCACTGTCACCTCTCCCACTGAAATAAAAACCTCCTGTGTGACCAGCTGCATCTGGTGCTTGGGTTTGGGGCTTTATTTCCTAACACTATTTTATTCTCTTTTTGTGTATTTCCTAAGTTAAAAATTTTAACAAAAGTTCTGTTTCCAAACTTTAGCACATATTAGAAATGCTGGGGACTTTTTTTTTTAAAGAGATTTATTTATTTCGGGTCCAGCGCGATGGCTCAATGGCTAAATCCTCACCTTGCACACACCAGGATCCCATATGGGTGCTGCTTTGTGTCCTAGCTGCTCCTTTCCATCCAGCTCCCTGCTTGTGGCCTGAAAAAGCAGTGGAGGATGGCCCAAAGCCTTGGGACCTTGCACCGGCACATTAGACCTGGAAGAAGTTTTAGGCTCCTGGACTCAGACTGGCTCAGCTCCAGCCGTTTAGGCCACTTGGGGAGTGGACTAGCAGATGGAAAATCTTTCTCTCTGTCGCTTCTTCTCTCTGTAAATCTGCCTTTCCAATAGAAATCAATGAAGCAGATCAGATTTACAGAGAGAAGCAGCAGAAAGATCTGTATGCTAGTTTACTCCCCAAATGGCTGCAAAGCTGGAGCAGAGCCAATCCAAAGCCAGGAACTTCCCAGGGGTCTCCCACGAGGGTGTAGGGTCCAAAAAGGATTTGGGCCATCCACTACTACTTTTGCAGACAGGGAGTTAGATGGGAAGTGCAGTAGCTGGGACACAAACTGGTGCCCATATGGGATCCCAGCACTTGCAAGGTAAGGATTTAGCCCCTGAGTCACTGCACCAAATTTTCCAGATAAATGGTTAATGTGTCAAAATTTAAACTAGATTCTATTGACAATATCAAAGTGCTAAAGGGGAGATGGAAAAACTTAAGGGAAAGCGCAGGGTGCTCGGCCTGGCAGTTCCCACAGCACAGCCCACATCAGCATGCCGGGCTCCGGCTCGCAACGTGCTGCCTGCCACCGTGAGCTCCCAGGTTCACGTCCCCCCAGCCACCAGGGAGACCTGTCTTGGCCTCTGCCCAAACCGGGCCAGTTGAGTGTTTGGAAAAGTGAACCAGCAGATGGGAGGTCTCACTCTGTCTGTGTGTGTGGGGGGGGGGGGGAAGATTATACAATTTTTTTTTTAATTTTTAGTTTTGAAATTTATCATACAATTCTGTACAGTCTGGAATTCCCCTCCCCCCAATTTCCACCCCTGATGGATTTTTCCCATAATGTCACAACTCTTCATAAGGGGTTACAATTCCATTAGTCTGCAGTTTAGGCATGCCCCGACATTGCTGGTACAGACCACGTCAGACAGTCCATCATCCCAATACTTTCACCGGGAGTCCATCTTTTGTTTGGAAGCAGAGCTGCATGTGGTATCGTGGTAGTCTCTGTTACTCCATCACTATACATTCCAATCTGCATGATGGATTCCTTATATTAGAGAGAACAAACGGTATTTCTCTTTGTGTGACTGACTTATTTCATTGAGCATAATGGTCTCTAGTTGGAAACATCTAGTTGCAAATGGTACAATTCATTCTTTTTAACAGCTGAATAGCAAGCCATGGAGTACATGTACCAGTTTCTTTAGCCACTCCTCTTCAGATGGGCATCTGGGTTGTTTCCATGTCTTTGC